ATTCTACATCAAAGAGGTATGTATTCTATCTTGTTATATTTATTATTTTGTATGCTAGATTAGGATAATACCTTGGATGTTCATAATTGTATGTATAATAGAGAAAACATAGATCCAAGGTATTTAGGGTTGCATGTACACTTAGGAGTGTTAGAATGCTCATAACCCAACAGTAACACCATTTGAACTTCCTGGATTTTGCACTTCATTAGTACCAAAAGTCAAATCCTTAGGCCTTTGAATAGATGCAAAGCGCATCTCATCAAAAATTCCATCTCGTGACTCAATAACGGTGTTGACCGATACAAAATCATTAGGTTCAATTACGTAAACCTATATGACTTGGAATGTTCATCATATCCAATGAATATACAATCTATTCCACGTTCCCCTAAAGTTGTCATTTTAGGCTCGGTTATTTTTACAACTGCCCGACATCCCCAAACCTGAAAATAGCTTAAAGTCGACTTTTTCTTAAACCAAAGTTTATATGGGACAAATTTGTTCTTTTTATTTGGAACCCTATTCAATATATAGCAGACCGTTAACATAGCCTCTCCCCAGAATCCATTACTCAATCCCGAGTATGACAACATCGAGTTTACCATTTCCTTTAAAACTCGATTTTTCCGTTCAGCAATTCCATTATGTTGGGGTGAGTAAGGTGTCGTGGTCTCATGAATGATACCCATTGATTGGAAGTATATGGGATCCGTATATTCACCTCCCTATCAGTCCTAAGACACTTAAATGGATTGCCCAATTGCAATTCCACCTCAGTTTTGTATATTTTGAATTTATCTAAGGTTTCGTCCTTAGAATGTAAAAAATACACATAGAAAAACCGAGTGCACTTATCAATGAAGGTGACTACATACTTTTTATTTCCCAAGGAATGAGTGGAGTGAAAATCATAGAGGTCATTGTGTACAAGTTCTAAAATAGTTGAATTTCTAGTGACACTAGGAAAGGACTGTTTTCCACTTTTGTAAGCATGCATGTTTTACATTTATCAGAGTCATATCAAAGGCTGGAATTAATCCATATTTGACATCTCATGCATCATTATAAAGTTGACATGACCTAATATTGCATGCCAAAACATAGATTTATCAACATTAGAATGTAGAAGATACAAATGCAAAATTTTGAACATGTAATAATTTATCAACAATACTCAAATGAAACATTCTATTATATAAATATCCAAAACATATAAACATTCCACCTTGAGATTAGATGAACTTATTCGACTCAATAACTTGTTTAAAACCATCAAAATTCAAACAACTAGAACTAACAAAACTCTTTCAAATCTTAGGAACAAACAAAACACCAAAAAGCCTAATAGTCTTTCCAGAAGTAAATTCAAGACAAAAAACACCGACACCACAAATAGGTATAAAAGAATCGTCTCCCGTTCTCAGCACTGATCCATCTTCAAGCGACATTAATGTTTCAAACAACCGTTTATCCTTGCATACATGGTTCGTTGCCCCCGGAGTCGATCCACCAAGCAACATCACCATCCTGGAGATAGAATGATTCAGGAATTAGTGAAACATAATAAGCATAACTCTAATTAGAATTATCATAGTTAGTCAAAAACTGAGCTCCTTTAACTTGGCCTGAAGACCCGTTCACACTTCCATTAGCTCAACTGTTTCTAGCACCATTATTGTTATTATTGTTGCCTAAGTTCATGTGACAATCACGCTTGCAATGCCCCACCCTATTGCACCTCCAACAAACCAATTTCTTTTTTGTTGTTGGAGTTATTTGGGACATTTTCCTGCTTATGTTTGCCATGTGCTTTATAGTTCGGGTTATTGGCTTTATTTTCAACCATATGAACAAAAGGCTATCTATAATCAACTTTCCCTTTGGTTTTATCAGATTTGTCAACTTCCTTCGCACGAAGAGATTCTTTAATACAAATATGACTAGCAAGTTGAACCAATGACAATTCCTCCTTTTGATGTTCTAGGTTATGTTTAAAATCCTTCCAAGATGGTGGAAGTTTGTCAATTACACTTGACACAACAATAGATTCATCCATATTCATGTTGTGTAGTTTAAATTGACCATAAATACCAAGGAGTTCATTGTATTGTTTAGTGACAGACCTTGAATCGACCATCTTTAAGTTATTAAAATCACTAACCATAAACTTCTTGCTAGAAGCGTCCTCAATGATGTATTTCAATTCAAGGGTGTCCCACAAATCATTAGCAGTTAAAGCATCACAATGCATATCAAATAGAGCATCAGACATACCGTTCAAGATGTGACCTTTGCAGATGTAGTCGTTGTTGTCCCATTTTTGCCTCTTCCTAGTATCTTCAAGTGTCTCATCAACACTTTCCTCCGGTTCAGCTGGTCTTGGAGTAGTCAGTACGTGTGCTGCCTTCAGAGTGGTCAGCATCAAGTACATCTTCTTCTTCCAGCACCTGAAATCAACGCCTTCAAACTTCTCTAGTTTTGCGAACTTCGTGGTCATCTCACAGATTGATTCACCCATCTCCAGAAACAAGAAATATCAGTTAAATTGTTAAAAATTTGGTAGGGTTTATAGTGGAGATATGGATACCCCTTGGATCGTGTAAACACTTTCCGAACTGATATTTATACCATATGCTCGTGCTATAAGAAATTCAACCTAGGATAATCCCAAGGGGATACTTACGAATCTAGGCACAAAAAATGTAAGCCAAATTTCTAGAAGCGTCTGAGTTCGTATGAAGAAAAACGAGAGCTAAAAGGTGTTCTTTCTCCTCAAGAGGAGAGTCCTTTATATAGTAAACGAGATGTAGGGTTTTTTCTAGGGTTCTTCGCCATGAATTCCTTTGGAAACAAGTTAAGGGAATCCATAATTAATGAGGAAATCAAGGGTTTCCAAAGGGGCGCAGCGGGACCCCAGCCAAGGGCTATGCCCCTTGGACCCTGCTAGGGACGCTGCCCCCGGACCCCCGACTTGTCGTTGACCTGGCTTCTAATTCGATCTTATACATGCGTGCACTCTGTAAACCCAAACATATATTAGAGTACAAATTACGAAGCCCCTTAGCTCACATGTAAGTTCTAATTACACAAAATGACCTGATGACACTAAAAAACACCAACATACAATATAAGAGGATTTTATCTAATCAAAACATATGGTATATCATGAAAAGGTTGAATCACATCAAAACCAAGCTACATTTCATAAGGTATGTAATTGAGTCCAATATTGTATTAATAGATAAGATGGTCACATTGGAGCATGCATTTAAGTTCTTAACAAAGTCATTTAAGGGAGCTAAGTTTCATTGTTTGAAGCTCTTGCACATCGACGCCGGTTAGATGTGTGATTGAATGAAGTCAATAAAGATGAAGATTGTAAATATATGTGAAACCCAAGATTGTCTCTCGAAAAGAGTATTTATAGAGAGGGGACTCCAACATATATAAAGAGACATAAGGAACCATGTCGCACCAATGTGGATACACTAACATTCCCCCTCAGAGACGGAGCCTTGATGAGGTCAAACAATGATATGTTCGGCCACGGGGGTGCGGATGCCGGCTGATACCATGAAGTTTGGTATAATTGCTTGCCCTCTTTCATTTATTCACGTCATATATTTAGATATGGATATACAAGATCTACATCTGAAATATGAACAAGATAAATTCTACTCCCTCCGTCCCATATTAATAGTCCACGTTTCCTTTTTGGTTTGTCTCAAAATAATTGCATACTTCTAAAAATAAATATGTCTTTTACCATAATACCCCCTCATTATTAATTAAATTACCATAAAATTAAATGCAACTACCATAGAATAAAATGCAAGAGAAGGGTAAGACTGTCATTTTATTTAATAAAGTTAATGGTAATTAATGTTTTTCTTAAACTGTGTGTTTTTTGTCTGTGGACTATTATTTTGGGGCGGAAGGAGTACATAATAATATAGTGTAATAGAGATTGTGTATGTGTCATTCATTTTGCCAATAATGCCGGGGTTAAGTGTATACATCTTAATAATTATAGGGGCTATATTACGAAAGTTCAGTATCTTAACAAAATCACACATACAATATAGATAAGAGATGGTTTAATAAGAAGATGCACACTCGATTATATATAAACACTCAAACACATTGTATGGTAATTCAATATTCTATTATTATTGTCTTTTTCTTGCATCTGGGTTATACGATACTGAAAAAGTACAAAAGTCTTTAAGGGTAGTTTAGATTGATATAGATTCTTGTTGCATTTAAGTTCACTTCAACGTGTTTGTAGCACGTACAGTACTCTTGTACCACAATACCAACCATTCATAAAGCCCAACTAAAATAGTGGGTGGGCTATTGTTAGTCATCCATAATGCTAACCATAGGTCCATAATGATTAATGAAGGTCTATAATAACTCGATTACAACAATGAAAGATGTTATCAAAAGTTCCATTTTAGCCTACAGTTTGTGTTTTTTTTTTTAAAAAAAAAAACATAATTTCAATCATCAAGGAATATCTCCTGAACAGAAAAGAAACTATAAAGTACAAACCTTTTTTTTACATTAGTTTTGCAATTCGTTATTATTAAAAATTCAAATACTCGGATAAACAAATACGTTGAGCTGCATTCAATATGGAATTCACTTCGGATGTCAATGTGCTTTTTTCTATCATCTTACTTTCAAGAAAGATATTTCCAATCTTACTTGTGAACTTATCTATGAAAAAAGTATATCTTTTTCCACCTCCCCATAAAGGTATTGCATAAAAAATATATAAAAATTGTACAAAAAAATAATAAAAAATTCTAAGAGTTTCCAAGAACCAACCATCAGTTATACATCGACAACAATATTATAAAAAAAAAAAAGTAAAAATCCCCACATAGCATTATGATTAACAACACTAAAGTAAAGAAAAAGTTGTCTACATTCTTAGACAGTAGTCGTCTACATCGTGGCCCTTCCTTTATCATCTCTCCACCACTTTCTTTTCATCTATCTTTTCTTGAATTACCATTTTTGCCCTTTGTGCACCATCTCATGCCATTCATGCTTCCAGAAGAAGAAACAGAATGATCTGGAAATCCACGCTAAGTTAATAAACAAGTAACAAGAATGAGAAGATGATCAAGAAGATCGCAGCCGTCGATCTTAGTCTGCCACCTGCGGATGAAGATCTATCAGGGCTATGAGGTGGCTTCTTGTAGTAAAAAGGAAACCATGGAACTATAGGGTCTGGAGCTGGAGGTCCATTACCATAGTAGTTAGGGTTTGGAGGGTTATATGGGAATATACCGGAAGGAGGAGGGAAATACCCCGTTTGGGAAGGCGGCGGATAGGTTGTTGTTGTCGGAGTATTCCCTCCTCCTCCCCCACCACCGCCGCCAGTTGGTGGTGGGTAGCATGGGTATGGACACTCTTGAGCCACCCCCTGATCAGCCTGAGAATTTGGTGTGAAAAATAGAGACAATGAGAGAATTAGGTAGAGTATAGATGCCATTTGGTGTGAAAAATAGAGAAAATGAGTGGTGTGAGGTAGATAAAAGGAAGAGAATAAGAAAAAGCCAAATAGGGTTGGAGAGTTGTTTGAGTGGAAGTTAACAGTCAACAAAAGGGTAGAATTTTATGAACTCTAAGAGGGAAATATTGCAATACTTAGGGTCACTTTTGTTTACGGTGTGGGGCCACATTTGCACATCATGCATAATGACCGAGTCATGCCAATTTAGGTAGAGATTATTAACTCAATCCCGAGTTATGACTCTGTATTGATTAGGAATCATAGTTGGCAACGACAATATATAAAGTATTTACATGCAAAGCCAAAAAAGGAACTTGGAGGATTGCGTTGTCTTTGGTTTCTCATTATTTTTCTAGTAGGTTAGAGATAAAATTTGCTACTAATGCTACGTACATACATCTAATGGGGTATATAATTTAACGGGAATATCTTCATATTTTGTTAAAAGAATCTAAAAAGTGAGTCGAGGGAATTAGAAAAGAATCATTTGGCCAAAATCCCTTCATAGTTTATTGCTAAAAATCGTAAATTAAGAAATTATGGTGTATATGTACGGTGAGCATGTAAACCGGTGGACTCGACCGGTATGGTTTTGTGTAGTAGGGTCAGTTATCGGTTCTTAGATTGTCCATTTTCCGGTTCCGGTTTTTTGACCAGTTCGTTTGGCGGTTCCGGGTATTGGAGCTGTTTGGACCGAAAATTGAAGAGGCATAATCTTAATCAAATATTGGAAATTTTAAAATTGGTCATCACTCATTCGTTTGGAGTCAAGACATATATGAAATCTTTCCCAACATGTAGTTTAAAGTTTGTACTTCCTTTTAGATTATAATTTCTTTATTTTTGGTTCCATATTCACTGAATTACAGTATCTTGGGATATCAAAACTGAAAAATTTATGGGTTTTCAACTTTTTAGATGTAGCTATTTTTGAATGAACAGGGTGATTAATGAAACCATTTTTTTATCGTCGATGTACTTTTTTTGGTAAAGAATTTTCAATGTACTTGTATTTAGTAGAAGTACACTCATCATATATATATATATATATATATATATATATATATATATATATATATATATATATATATATATATATATGTTTACATTTTACTACATAATAAAGTTTTAAAATTCGTCGTATGTCATTCATTATTAAAAGACATGGTGACAAGTTGATTTTTAACCTACATGGTGTCTTGGTTGGCAATAGTTGTAATTGAGGCATTTTAAGCCTTCATCACATGTTTGTCTTCTTCCTCATTGATGGCTCTTGTTATTTTACTAAAGTTCTTCTCGGAATAGTAATGTATATTCAAAGCGAATAATAAAGTCCAAATGTTTTAAATAACTTCTTATCATTTTTTACAATAAAGTTAGACGTGGATGTACGATTTGCGCTTGAGGATAATTTTAGTACGGAGTTGAGAAAATTCAAATTAAAATACGGAAACAGTAGGTACACTTTGCACTTCCTACGTCATCTAAAAGGCTTCTAGCCCATCGGTATCCGGTGTTGTCCTCCCTCCTTGAGGTTGAGGGTTCAACTCCCGTCGTGGATATAGGTGGACTTAAGGTAGGTTAGATTTGCCGTTTCAAAAAAAAAAAAGAATTATAGTACTATTGATTCAATATCCACAAGTGGTTTTATACTCAAGTTAGAAGAGAGATTTTTTGGGCAAGCAAGAAACCTAGCATGGGCCGGGTTGCGTCGGTTTTGCCCTAAAACCGAATTATCGGTTTTTAGAAAATTAGAACCTAACCCAACCAAAAACCCGATGGGTTTGGTTTCTCGCTTCCTCGGTTTTTCCGGGTTCAATTTTGGGTTTATCGGTTTTAAACCCAAAAATTTTAAACTTAGCCAATTAGTCACCATTAAACCGATCGTTTGGACCAATCCAAGTAGCAAGAGTATAACAAATGTTATATAGAAGAGGAGTGTAGGCTTGAGTTTTATACCACTGTCGATGTGGGAAGCCTCAGAATGGAAAGGAGTATGATATTGTGTTAAATAAGGGTTGGAATAGGCTTAAGTTTAAAGTTACCACCGATGTCGGATTACATTTTTAGAGCATAATATAATTCGATGTTTAGAATAAGAGAGCGTGAAGAGCGTTTAAATCTAGTTTAGAAAACGAAATCAATTACAGATTGCATTAAGAACACGATCGTAAATAATATCCGTTTGACTCATTAATTGTTTGAATGAGTACAAAAGATCTAGAGAGAGAATGAGAACAAACGTGCCTAAAAGCTACTCTCTGCTTCTATACTAACTCTATTTATAGAGTGATATAGACTCTGAAAAAGTATGCAAGGACTAGACGTTCGACATTGACATAAACAAATGCCTTGCAAAATACATACACAACGAAGTACTAGACTTCGCACCTATACAGACCAAAAGTACTTTCGACATCTCACTAGACATTTCACACCCTACAATCTCCCCCTTAGTGAGAAGTGTCGAAATCACGTCATCAGCTTCATGGTCTGGAGAAGTACTCTGCGAATCTCCATATACCAAAGAATAGTCTTTCGAATTTCAGCCTTGTCCGCTGCATCATTCTTTTTGCAATTATTGATTCGAACAAGAAGGCTTGTATATTGAACATTCGTGTACCTCTCAACATCATCTATTTGGAACAAAAACTTTGTCATTCTCTGGTTCTTGTTCTTGCCACGAAACACTACCCCCAAAGGCTGATGAACAATTTCCCCATCTTCATATTTGTCAATATTAATCTTCCCTTTTAGCAAAGATTGGGGAACTTTTGAACTCTTGTTGATGGCCATTGCCAGCTCGATATCAGTGATTGCAAGGCAATCATAATAACTATCAATAAACACCTTGATATGAGCGAAGCCGATAAGAAAATCATTCTTATTATTCTCTGGTAGTTTCGTTACATCCACATTGCTTAAAATCGACGTCACTTTGACCAAGTCGTTCAAGTTCATCAATGGAAAGTCGACAATCAAAAAATCACAGACTACATTATTCGCTCTTACAACAACATAGCGAAAATTTTGTAAAATGCCTTCGAACAAGTTTTCTCGAGAAATTGACATCACTTTAATGATCTTTACGGAAGACCAAATTTCCTCTTCGCTTTTACCTAAGAGAGCGTGAATTTCTCATATTCAGTCTTTTATATTCTTCTTTGTCTTTGAAGCGATCAACCAACTTGTACTGAGAAGAAATGTATGTCATGTGATTTATAGGGAAATCGAGCTGATTAAAGTCAGAGTTTTCAACATCATAACTCTTCTTTGGAACCTTGCGAAAATACTCCATCTTCCTTATTAAAACAATTTGATCAATAGTTTCATAACACTAATGCTTGTTGGGATCACCCTTGTTCAAGCCTGGTGGATGATTCTGTCTTCGTCTCAAAATACTATTGATCTGCCTTTGTCTTTCGATCTCCAACGCTAATTTCTTCTTCTTTTCTTCTTTAGTAAGAGTTACCTCAACACCTTTCCCTTTATCTCCCTGATTGTCTTTCAAAGTAGGTGGATTAGAGCTTGACCCAGAGCCTCCAGCACTTTCGCTAATGACAATCCCTTTCAATATAGGTCTTGTTGTGGTAGTTGTCGAAGTTGTTGTCAAAGAAAATGGAAGTGAAGTGGGTATTTGAGTAGACATCACCTTCCCAACAACTGCACCCTTATCAGTATCTTTTGAAGATCCAACTCCTCCGCATCATTTTTCTCCCCCTTGTGACACTTGCTTCACAGGTGGAGCATTAGTTGGTAACAGAAGAACCAACTCAATGATGGGAGCAAGTTCCTTCTTGAGATTAGCTTCAATAGACAAAATCATCGGAGTAATTGTTTTGTTGGGAAACAGAAGATTGGTTCGAAAGAGCAGCTTTCGAAATGGATTCTTTGATACTGCTTAAAAATTCCTCCAACTTTTCAAAGACTTTGGAATCTATTTCTATCTTCGCATCAATCTTAGTTGAATAAGCAGTATTGTACTCAACTAGCTTTGCAATTGCATCAGCAACAACATCCACTTTCCTATGAAGAACAAAATAACTTTTCTCAATCTTCTCAACCTCTTTAGCCATCTTTGTTTTGAGTTCAGTCACTTTGATACCAATAGACTCTTTCATAGCCTTCACTTGCTCAACGAAAAGTGCATGACGCTCTTTCTCATCATCACAAAGCTTTTTAATCTCATTCTCAAAATTATCAGCATGAGCTTTCAATCTTTCAGCCTGTTGCTTCTCAACATTTTCCACCATACTCCTAAGACGACTCTCTTGCGACTTTAATAAATACTCCATTTCGACCTAGACACAAAATTTCGACCCCCAGTGTCTGCTTGTATATGTAACAGAGAATTTAGTTTGTTGTTGAGGATCTTGAAGTGTTTGCCTGCCATTAGCATGTTGTCAGGAACATTATCCTCCCCAGGATCGAATTCTAAGTCAGCAAAAGAAACCATGATTTCATCGTCATTTGGTTCATTGTCTTGAACTATTATTTCTGCTTCTGTGGATTGCGAATAGAAAATAGTAGTTATTGGTTCATGCATTATTGAGGAGTATGTTGGTGAGATTGTGGAAACAGGAAGTGAAGATGGGATAGGAGAAGATAATGGTGGTAACGGAATTGAGGTATCAAGAATTACGGTTTCGATGGTAAATGAAAGTATGAGTGATGTAGAAACAATTGAGGTTTCAAGATGGGAAGTACCAAAGGCTTCGTTGTTCAACATCCCTTAACCCATGGTGACATTTGTTTCCTTATCAGATATGTGCACAGTGATGGCTAAGTTTTGAACCTCCTCCGTATTGGACTCAGTTAATGAAACCTCGGGTGGTGTGACCGTGGCTTTCTCAGGGATGGAAGTAGATGGAGGATCACTCAAATTGGTGTTTGTATCCGTATAAGATACGTGTACATTGGCACCAAGACAGTCTCCTCGAAATCGACTTAACTGGAGAATCCCTTTGAGGTGACCGAAA